GCAGGAAAGGGCCATGAGAAGGACTCGAACCCATGACCTCTGTGTCGAGGACTGTAGCCCCTGAACATGGGACGCCAGCTCAACCAGCTGAGTTATCGCGGCGCCCCACGATGAGGGAATTCCTGACAGGAATTCTTCTACTGTAAAGGCATAAAATCTCAACTACATGGTTAATATTGTAGGTAATTTGCTGCTTACATTTAAAATTTGTTTCCATGATTGTCCCTACTTTGTGCCCCGTCAACCCAGTTCAACTCAATTACAATTAAACTACTAATGGCTTTGCAACTGCATTTGAGGAGTGTACTTTTTTATTTCATTTTACAGAATCTGGTTACTGCAAACACTTTTTTGGTCATTTTTTAAATAAGAAGTGTTGATGAAAATGATTTTAATGAAATATTTTGATTTTAGGCTTAAATTTGTTTACATCCAAGTCTGAGCTCCAGTGATTCTTCCCGTTTGTCATGTTCCTGCCGCTGACAAACGGTGTAATTTGGTGGATTTTTAAAAAGCAGCACGCCTTTCAAACCTGCTGGCAGGCTTTGGGGTTCAGAGGGTTTAAGTATAACTTGGCAACTTTAAAGTGTCATTTCTGGCAACGATGCTGTGATAAATGCTGCTTTGACTTTCAAATCACACCTGTTTGGTTTTCATAAGATTAGACTGATTAGATGTTTTCTTTCACAGAAGAGTCTTTCTTGGACAACGATGATGACTGAAAAAGACAAATGATGACAAAGTGTCCAAAATCACTTTTAAGTAAACGTGGATGTCAGTGGTGGGAAAGTTCTGCTGTACAGCAACAAGCAGCAAAACAGAAGAAGAGAGGAGCAGCAAAAGAGGACAAGACAGGACACTAAAAGACAAGGAAAAGAAGCATAATGCAATAAGAAACAATGAAAAGAGTTTGTTTGTCCAACCAGGTTAGAGAACTGGGTTCGGTCACACCAAAGATTCAAAGTAAACACAAGAAGAGACGGAGAGGCTGGGAGTGTTTTCTCTGTCTTCCAAATATAGCCGCAGGCTGCATTTACGTGTATCTACAGCGTGCGAGTGTGTGTGCACATCTGTTTGTAATATGGCAGCACAATGGCAAAGATTTACTACATGAACTGACTTGACTATGGCTTATTAGACTCCAATAATGTCAAACCAGGACTGAACAGAGAGTTGAGGAGGGGGGCTGCCTGCCTCTGCTGTCATCGTGCACACACTGAATTTCTTGACAGGCCGCCCAGTCTTGCAGGCCAAAGCTTACAAAGTCGGTGATCTCATGTGAGTCTGCATATGAGTCGAGTATCTCATCGATGGCAACGCATGTCAACACACACAGAAAGACTCGAACACACACAGAAAGACTCGAACACACTTTCTTTCCTCGTTTGTTTCCGTCACCTGGAGTCTGAAGAAAACAACAAGACCTCCGGTTATGGGCCAGCATGTCAAGAGGATAAAGGCAACGGCTACAGCATGTATGACTCACCATGCCCCACACACACACACATACACACTAAAACACACACACAACCTCCCTTGGGGTAGGCTTAGAAAAGAACATTCCCTCATTATAGCAGCATAGCAGCAGTTCAAAGGCGGAGTGGGAACGCTGTGCCTGTTACTATGGCTCTAACTGGCTTGCAGGCCTGGATCATCACACTGACTACTGTCACAATTTATCATACTAACACACTGACCAATAGCCCGGCGAGTCACACACACTGTCACACTGCCTGCCAACAGTGATGTCAATTATAGACTAGCGTCAGTGGATCATCAGTGAGGCACCGTGTAAAGTCACAAACTCCGAGCCAAGAAGTAAAGTTCATTCACATAACACCTTTTGGGAGAAGACAAACAGTGCTTTGGAATTACAAATAGGAAAAGATGACGGGAACTGGAAACAAGCACCGACTGCAGATATAATGTAAACAGAAAAAAGACCTTCAAAAGCTGATCAACTTTAGTTTTAAGTCTACAAAGACACACACAGCAAGCTCGACTCAGTGGACGTAAGTGATTATAATAGAGCCGTGGTAACTAAGAAACATGCAGTAGGAGGTAGTTCCTGCCACGCAGAGCGCTGGAAGTGAGAGACAGGAGTTTTAATTGAATTAAGAATTGGACGAGTTATGGAGAAAGAAGCGAGTGAACCAGATTTCTCCTCATCTCTGCTTGAGGCTAACAGCTAGAGGCAACCTTAGCAGTTACTCACATAACTCACCTGAATCTCCGATTCTACTTTTCAAAAGTCTGTAGGCACGGCTGTGGATAATCTTCATTGCCATAAGAGGAATCCTAATCATTTTAATAATCTCCTAACCTACTTTCCAATACAGCACTCAGATCAGATTGGCTACTGTATGCACCATCAGATAGAGAGATGTATAGATTTCTCAACATACCAAAGACGTCATGACATTTAGTGAACTAAATATTGAGTGCAACAAACCAAAAAATAGGACACCAAAACATCTGATAAGAATATTGTTGCTGATTTGTTGGTGCCGTTGTCTTTTTCGTTTGTAATGCTCTGACATGAAGAGATTACTGCTTAATGGAGTGAAGTATGTGTCACTGCCTGATAGAAAAGCATCTTCTCAAAGTCTGGGGACATGTGGACCAATTTACCTGCTGGCTTCAGTCCAGTAGCATTTGAGGAGTGCTGATGAACCAAAAACATAAACATAGCTTCCATCAGTTTATTGCAATATCACAGTATCAAAGTTGATGATTGCAATGCCGAAGCATAGATGAGGAAGTCTTTTAAACTGGTTGCAGTTGGGATGGAAACAGATATATTATTCAGAAAGCTCACCAGCAACATCAGAAATGTGCAGCTCCACCAAATCAACAACGTTTGCCAAACTTTAGGTTGGCAAGTATATCGTCTTTAGTAAATAATCACACAAATTGTAGAAGCCTACCAAAATGCTGCACTGGCCCTCTATCAGAAAAGAAACTGGCTGCTGTAGTGGAACTTCCCAGATGCCACATTCATAAGTTAAGTTTTTACTGGTGCTGTCTGTCTGTTTACCGGACCTCTCTGTAATTCAGAGTGCACACACTGCATGCAGCTGCCAGGTTTAACAACTTTTCAACATAATATAATAAAGCTTGTTGTTGAAAGCTGCAGTACTGTAGCAGTAATTCACATAAACACATGTATACTGCAAAAGTACACAACTAAAATCTTTACTGTCTTTATTGTTACCACATGCCAACACCAAGCTGAGTTTAAAAACCGATGGCAAAATAACAGCCATTTGGCTATTGTGCAATTCAGAATCCCTACAGCTGATTATTGATTTTAATAATTAATCATGTCCCCAAAGCTTTTTAATCTTCAGCCCTCTCCACACCGGGCATTAACATGCATCTTGGGTAATCCAATCACAAGTAGGAGCTTTAAGTGTGTCAGTTTATAAAGGGTATTAGCATGCATCACGAGTGACTACTTGTAAACGGATCTCACTTTCATGCTCTATAAACACGTACATCATTTCAATTTGCCAAGACCAAATGTGTTCTTGTTTTTAACCCGCGCAGGGCAGTAATGGGCTTCCAGTGCCCGGTCTGCCAGAAGTTAAAAGAAGAAGAAGAAGAAATCCCCATTCTGCCTGTTGTCTCACTGAAATATAACGTAGTTGGTGTGCAAGTAGATACCTGCTTCTGCTTCCGTCCTTCTGTGTGGCCCAACAACTTCATGTAAACACCGCTAAAAGAAAGTGTTCATATGTACCACAGACCGCCTCCGAATGTGATCTGAGCGATCGGATCTCAATGCGTCATGGATGCATTCACACCTGTACTTAGAGCTGTGTACTTGTGATCAGATCACCCCCAGACGCATGTTAATGCCGAGTTTGGACCAGGGCCAGAGCGACACTTTAAGCTTTGATGGAGAAACACCCATAAGCTGACATTTGAGTTTTACAAGACATCTCAAATAAAAAAGGGTTTATTGGGTAATGGTGAGCAGTGCTTGGAGTGTTATTGTATCACTGATCAGTAAAGCAACTTTCACCACCATGAACACTTTTAGGTTTTATTTAACAGTTGTGACGTCCAAAATCCCAGTAGTGTCAAATCTTAGTCCCTATAACAAGCTCTAGCTATGATTGTGAGCTCTTCTCAGATAGCTGCAGAAGAACTGGAAGGTAAACTTGAAAAGCCAACATCATGACTGAGAGTCAATATGAAGAATGACATGCTTTGCACTATGTGTGTGCTGTGGAAGGCAGGTCAGAGAAAGGCCAGCAGCACTAAAAACCTTGTCAGCCCTGCCTTATCTGGAGTGGTGCAACACAAGCGCTAAGCAGCAGCAGCATACAGGTCAAAAAACAACACCTGAGTTAAATCTTCCTCTGTCTTAAATCCCTCATGCATTCAGCATGAGAGCATGCTGTATACCGCTGGGATGTGTCATTGGCTCATATCACAGCGCTTAAGTGCATGCGTGTGTGTGTGTGTGTGTGTGTGTGTGCATATTCCCATAAAAGTTGAGAAGGCAGTAAACGCTATACGTCAAGCAGGCATGTGGGTGTCTTTCTTCTTGCCATTAGCTGCCAGTAAATACTATAAATGTAAATGTGAGTATGTGTGTATGTTTCCATATAACACGAACAGGCACTAAGCACTATGATTCCAAATTTTCCAGTCTGTGCTCATGAGCTCCAGGCAGACAGGGTAGGCAGACACACAGTCATCCTGTCGGTAAACTGCCAAGTCTTCCAAGTCCGTGCCTCACATCTGTTTGCCGTTACACACATACGCCGACACTCGCAGACATAATATGGACTGTACGCTACACGGTGACACACACACCGACACCTACGTTCGCACAGTTTGCTGCAAGAAAAGGTCAACGGATCCCACATCAACCGCCCACACAAGTTCATGGACCACACTGCAAGTACTAGATGTGAAGATCATGCATATTTATGAGTATCATAAGTCCAGAAATCAAATCACATTTGGATGCTTGACATCAAACTCACAGTCGAGGATGTGACGAGTTCTTGAGGAAGTATGAAAATGCGAGTCAGTGAGGCTGAGTGAGAATGTTTTCCTTCTTTTTCTATTGCATTATGTTGCGTCTGTCTCCATCTCACCAATCCGGACCCACCTGCAACAGATGAAGCAAGTACCACAAAATCAATAACGACAGCTCATTCTGTGGACTTATTTCTATAGTGTTTAAATAAATACTGAGGCTTGAGTTTCTTATACGGTCGTATACATCCTGATTTCAGCGGGGCTTTCACATCAGCGGTCCTGAGGTGTAATTTCGCACCACTGGAGATGCACACATACACAAACACACACTTCTTGATCCCTCAGGATTTGGCTCCTGCAGCAGCAGCAGTTACAGTGTGACTGTTTTGGCCTTTGAAGTCAGGAGTCAGTAAACCTCTGGGAAACTGGCTTCGATCCTCACCCCGTCTCCACCCCTCAGCCTGCGACTAAAGAGCAGCTTCCCGAAAAAGCCTCATTATGAAGTCGAGAGGGGAGCTTCCAGTTATAATGATCTATTCAAAAAGCCTTGAGCCTTTGTGTCAAGTTAAATCCATAGATTTCATCTTCTTTTGGGAAATACTTGCTCATTTCAAAAGCATCAGTCATTCGTCCGAGTCTTTAAAAGCTTCCCATCATCTCAACTTTCTTTTTCACTGTGACACTGCGCTGTTTGGGATTAAGACTCTGGGTTTTAGCAGAGGAGATATTCTGACTTAAAAGGGTGAAATTGAGGAAGTCCATCATGCTTAAGGAAACACAAAGGAAAGGAGAGGAACTTTGACATTTTGAGGAGGAAAAAAAACATCTTTCTTCTTGGCTGCTCACGACCCTACATGTTCCCATGCCCCCGTAGAAACAGCCAACAATGCCAGCAACACATCCACGTGGACGAGACACCAATCCAAAGAAAGAAAGAAAGAAAGAAAGAAAGAAAGTCATGCTTGTCATCTCTTCACCTTAAAAGATTGTTTCTGTTTGGAGAATAGTTCGTCTCTTCTTTTTTTTTTTTTTACCCTTTCTAATTCGCAATCCATCATCATCTCCTTTCATCATGACAAAAAAAAGGAAGGCTTTGGATTCTCAAAGACAGAAGACTTTGAGGCCATTACAACGTGACTTATGAAAAAAGAGTCTGACAGCCCTTTAGCGTGTGATTAATATGCTGTAAGTGTATGTTGCGTCCATAGGAGGTGGAGAAAAAGGAGGGCATCCAGAGGGCAACGCTGGCATCCTGAGGCGTACAGCCTATATATAAGTCCCGATGCCTGGGGGTAGAGTAGCCTGCATTCCCCTGATTCAGCCTAAATGAAGGATACCTTGGATACCTTCTCTCACTGTCACGTTCTCTCTTTCGCTTTCAACAGCCTGCTTTGCCAGAGGGTGAACTCTCAAATTCTATCCTCACCTCCTTTGTCCCTTTTTAACCATGCATGCCAGAAAATATGACACTAGATTCCCCACATTTTAATGATGCAACAGAAACATCTGCTTTCAGGCCAACTGTTTTCATCAATTAATAAACAAAAAAAAACAGAGGTACAAAGGGCATTGGATGCAAAAAAAAAAAAGTAGGGCTTCTACTGACATCAATTTCATCATAGATTTATCTGTCAATGATTTCCTCATGCAGCAACATCAAATCGCTTGCTGTTCTGTTTCCTCGGAGCTCCATGCACAATTGATCGTTCACAGGTCAGCTGCACAGATAACAGTCGGTTGAATTCACAGCATCAAAGATACATGCACGGAATATAAACCAGTCTGTTGTTGCAGTTGTTGCTTCTCACTTGTCTTTTCGCAAAATACTTTCTGCAGCTGAACTGTTTTGCTGTGAACCGACCAGGTCGTCGATGTGTTGTTGCTGGAAAGGCATGCGAGCCGGCAGGTCGTAACTCCACAGCACACAGTCTGCAAACGTGCATCATAGAAAGAGGTAATAATAAAAATACAGTAATATGCTTCGTGTTTAGTCATTTTCTCAGAACTTATTGCAGATGGTTTGTCAGTGATGACACAGACTTATTTCCCAGAGTTGCAACACTGACCATCTCCATGAAGACGCCACCTACACAGTTAGAACAATACGTTTTTTAGCTTCTTCTTTTCTGGTTTTTAGCTTTTCCTGATTTGTTGAACTACATATAATAAATTCATAGGATAAAGTTCTTAGAATGAAAACCATGAAAAACCAGATCAAAGCTGAAAAACTTCACCAAAAATCTGTATTCATACAAATAGTATTTTCATTCTTTTACATTTGGCCAAAAAAGTCTTTTAGCATATATTTTAATCAGTTAAATGTATTTAGTTTTTTGTTGTTGTTTTTTTTACAGGTATTTGCCTTTATTTTCAACCTTTTTTTTAAACTTATTTAATTTTTATTTCACTATTTTTAGCAAAAAAAAATTAGCACCTTTGCTGCTATATTTTTACTGTTTTTAAGGCACTTTTATTTATTTATTTTGCAGTTTAGTCCCCAAACTTAGTAGCTTTTTAATGTAAAAATGTATAATAATAAACTAAAAATCTTAAAATTATATTTCATTTTATGTTTTTGAATCACTAGCTGGTTGAGCTGGTTGTAACGTGCAGACAAGTGTACTCTACGATGAGGAGAAACAAATAGATATCGCTTCCGTTGAAGGCGAAGCCAAAGAAGCTGGAAAACACAAATGTTTGTAATCAGCGAAGCAGTTACCGAGTTTTATCACATGTTGAAAGCTGATTGTAACAGAAAGAGAAAGAAGGAGGAGGCAAGTGGAGGAATCAAGGAGATAAAGAAGTGACTAAACGAAGCACCAACATATTCCCTGTGGAACTGAAACAATGAATCAAAAAGATGATGGAAAAGTCTCTCTGCTGAGTGTGTCTTGGCTCCGGTCCACATCTCTGAAGTTCAGCTCCCGTGCATTTGGTTGCATTTATATGCATGTGTATGCTTGTACATACAGCATCAGAACTCCAAGGCATGCGAACGCAAACATGAAACCATGTGAGGCGTGTGCTCGGTTATGTGAGCTTCCAAAGACGGAAAACACAAAGCTATTTTTAAGTTTTCTTACAGTTGACATTACAACAAGTTTTCACCCATCGATAATGGTATGCGAGCACGAGCAGGAACTTCCATTTTCTGTGTGTGTGTGTGTGTGTGTGTTTTGGCTCTGAAACTGTGGGAGTGAGTTTATCAACAACAACAACACAATCCCAGCTCTCCCCGAGGACCTGGTCGCTAAAAGCCACTCCGGTTCCCATGAGCGCTCCGCCCACGCAGCCTGTCACTGGATTGTGTTGGTTTCTATTGTGAAACTCTATACAATGTTGCTACAAATAAACCGGTAAATCACGGCTTAATCACAACGTTACCATGATGAAGTTACAGCGTAATTACATACACGGGCCACATCAATGTAGTCAACATGTAGTTCGATGTTTTGAGATGAATGCTTCAAAACGGAGCCTTTAATCAGGACGCAATCAAAAAGTACAGACTAGGAGAGCCAGAGCATGGGATTGTATTATTATTCTAATTGGAGATAATTTTACCCTGTAGCATGCTGTCACTCTACTCTCACTGTGACTTCTACGCATACCTTTGCAAGCTATTTTTACTGAATTCTCACAGTCAAACTGGAAGTAAAGTTCTATAAACTCCTAACAGAATGATTCTTTTCCTCTTGCATCTTCATTCTAAATAAAGTATATTTAGTATGTGCAGCAGGAAATATGTAGGATGCCATAAATCATCCTAATACATCAACCGGCACGTCCATCTAATATCTATGATCTCAGTTCAAGAAGGAAAAACTAATGTTGGTTCGAGACGGAAAAACATGGGGAACATTTAAAAATAGAGACGGGGTGGAACAAATAGAAGGAAATGGAAAGAAAGCCATTTCATAAGCAAATTTACAGGTACAAAAAAAAACAACTTGTGCATTCCAGAACTACTAAAAATCAAGCTATTTATCAGCAGATAAACAAAAAGAGCAGATTGACTCTCCTGCTGCTCAACACCAACAGATTAGTACCTGCAAGCAAAGATTTTTGTCTTAGCCTTATTGTCCAGAAAAACACACATTAAAACCGATTCAGATTCGGGTTTATTTCTTTCCGTCTCCTTCTTATGTCTATAAAAAATTGCGTCATCATAATCAGTGGATAAAAGAATTACAGGGCTCTTGTACTTGATTCTTTTTCAGTGCTGGCAGATACCCTGATATACTGATAACAAGAGAAAAATACTTGTGAAGGTCATTACGGGGCCTTAGCTCACTGATTAATTAATAAAGCCTTAAAGTGTGCAAGCAGGCTAATGGTTCAAGTCTACTGTGTCTTCATCACCGTAAAAGTGGACAAAGACATGAGGCAAACACATACAGTCAACCTAAACGAGTAGAGTAGAGTCACTGCTGCTTTGCATCGACAGGAGCAAGGTCTGATTAGGATGGCAACTTCCTTTGGAGGTTTTGTGGGAGGGATCTTAGGATCCCTCAGGAGGAGCTGGAAAGTGTTGATGTGGAGAAGGATGTCTGGAATGACTTGCTTCACCTGCTGCGATGGATGGATGGATGGATGGATGGATGGATGGATGGATGGATGGATGGATGGATGGATGGATGGATGGATAGGTTTCAAATCTATTGGGTAATAAATCCCAAGACTGGAAGTTGCTGTGGTCAGTGTCTGAGTGCCACATCCTGAACACCATGTAACCATATCTGTCCATATCTTTGTCCACTTCAACTCTGATGAGGACACAGTAGCATCAAAACATTTGTCCAATTAAAGGCAGACAACTAATCTGTGTTCTCCAGACTCCCTTTTATCCTTTAAAAGTTTGCTGTCCTTAAGCTGAGGAGCACCTGACTGAGCTGGAAGATGCACACAGAACCCTGTTTTTACTACAGTAATATTTGGATGAATGCATCCTCACACATCAGCTTCACGCCCTCTGAGTCGGGAGCACAAATATTTCCAAATTTAAAGACTAAACAGCATTAGTAATCATTAAAATTAAAGTTTAATAATACTCATAAGCATAACTGTGTTTTTCTAAAGTGGTTTCAGTGTAAAAGACGGGCAGAGCAAAATCCACAGTGCTTCTTGTGT